TTTCTCTGTCTCAGTCTGAAGGTGGCTGTGTGCACACATGTGGACGGCTCTGTCTGTCTGCGCGGCCCGAATAAATGAGCTGTGTGTATGCATTGTCCGTGGACACAGGCCCAGTGTATATATTAGTGATGTGACTTGACCCTGGCTGGCCCGGGCCACTGTTTCGCCTCTTTGCCGGGTCGTGGGAAAAAGGGGAGACCTCTTTTCACAGCTGCTGCGGCCGTTGCATTCAACCAATGGAGGCGCGGACCCCGCCGGCCCCCTCCCCGTCACCCCCATTCACTCCGCAGCCTGCTGCCTTTTCACAACGCTTCCCTCCTCCTCCTCTTCCCTCGCTCCTTCTCTCCCCCCACCCCATCTTCAGAAATACACCTCACTATTGAAGCAGCGCTTTTGCATGGCACTGTCAGAGAGGCCTTACCCAGCCTGCCTCGGCCCATTCTCTCCCTGAGAAAATCAACTGCCTCTTCAGCCACTGGAGATGTTTCTCAGCCTGAAAAAACAGCCATTTTTCACTACCGAAAAAAACAGCCACTAACGAATAAAAAACATTATTAAAACCTTTATTTTAAGCAAAAAAAGGAGAAATACACATGCTTTAATTTATGCTAGCGCTCCACACGCAGCAGGCACTCCCCTGCACTGCCTCTCACTCATTCTGCATATTCATTTAAAAAGATTTATTTCCTATCAGGCCAGCAGTTCATTTAAATCAACTTCCAAAGAAAGCCATGCACAGTCGTTGATGCTATAAAAGTCGGTAAAGCTTTGGAATTTTTGTCTCTCTTTTTCTTTTTTTTCCCCTGCAGGCTTTCAAACAAATGAAAACTTCCATAGGCAATATATCTACGATTGGTTTTGGCTGCACATGTACTGTAAATCACACTACAACATAAGCACCACAAACACATAAGTCTCAAACTGGTTGAAATGATATCACATCAACATGCTATAATAAAATAACAATACAATTAAAAAGTGACTAATTTAAAAAATATTCCACACTAAAACAAAAAAAGCTCATAGTAGCAAACAGTTTTATTCATTGCTAACGTCTAAGCTTTTTTCCTTCCATGCATGTAAACTAGTGAGAGACAAACAAAATAAAGAGATAGCTTAGAGAGATAAAGGAACCACAGCTTGTCTCGAAAAAAAAAAAGATAAACACACAGTGTGGTGAACACAGTATGAAATCTCATTTTTCTACCATGTCACACCATCCATTTTACACTAAACACATAATTTATGATATATTTCTACATCCCTAAACACAGTGGCGGACTGTAATGAAGTACAAACACTTCAAATATCTTCACATATACCACTACATTTCACCCGTTTTGATTTCACTATTTGCTGCAAGATATTGTGATGTAAAAACTAGATTTGCATAATAAATAAAAGCATATTTCATTCTATATTTTAAGAAGGGTATCTCTACAGGATTTGTGTTTTGTCCACCACTGCGTTAACATAAAGGTGCTGAACAGTTCTTCAGAGTGATGGAAGAACCAAGTTTTACTCTCTAAAGAACGTTTCAGTGGATGGTTCTTTCATGATTATTTAAATTTTATAAATGAGATGAAGAATCTACACATAAGGGAAAGGTCCTACACCAATTAAATGTCAAAAAACATTTAAGAACCTTTATTTTTAAGTGTGTGCAGAACACCTAGCTGGTGTATTACAGGCCCAATTCATGGCATGGCCAGCAAGTGTGCTTTGTACAGGCGGCATTCTCTGATATTCAATTTTAAAGATTTTCTCTTTCATATGGAATTTGTTTAGCTGTGCCGCCAGTTCAGCCTCACATTAATCGCGCCAAAATGCTGGTTTGAATTGATCTGCGTACCCCCTGCGCTCTATTTAGTGAACTAATATGGACCGGGCGGCTCAAACGTGTGAGGCAGAGGCAGGGGAAGAAGAGGCCGAGACTGAGAGGTGGTTAGATGGTGAGGAGCGGGGGAGATAGCCACAGGGTACTGAGTCCCCTCTGATCCTCTGCCTCTGATTCCTCAATTCAATTCTTCCTCTGGGCAAAAGCTGGTCTAGAACTAGGCCAATGTCACAGACTGTTTCTCTGGCCTGAAAGCCAAAAAAGAAAAAAGAAAAAAAAGAAAGAAAGAGAGATTTCTTTTTCGTCCCTGACGGAAAGCCATTCTTTTCTTGATGGGCTTCACTCTGTGCTGAAGCCTGGCGTGTGTCTTGTGAAGTTTTGTGCTCTTCTGGCCTCAGCTTTCAGTTCTGCAGTGACTAATGCCTGAGAATACTATAGGTGATCAATGGCTCTGGACCGATAATGTTCTCCTCTATTTCTTCAACAAATAGAAAGAAGAAGGAGAATTTCTGTCTCGGCCTGACAAATGTGACAGAATTAGGATGTCCGGTCATTTTACAAGGGCTTTGTCAGCTGCACCACAAAAAAAAGATCACAACATATTCTCCCATTACAAAAGCAGATCAATACTACTGGAATCAATACTACAGGAATAGCTCAATATGTACTTTGATACTCAAAGTTCACCCTATCAAACAGTCTAATAGTACCACGAGAATCTGTCTGTACTCTTAAGAGGAAACGCTCCAGACAGAACCACTTTGGGATTCTTCGGCTTGTTCAGGTATGAAAAGCCCTAAAAGTGTCTGTCAGAATACTATAGGTCCACATAGTGCTGCCATTATATCAGAACTAGGGGTGGGCGATATGGCAAAAATATAATATCATGATACTTAATAAGACATTTTCATGATACATGATATTTATAACAAAGTTAAGTTTTTCTGAGGTTTGTTAACTTGGAACAGAGAAAAACCCTCAGCAGAGCCACATTTTGAAAATTGCTAATATTATAAGTAAAATGATTTCTATTCAGCATTTTGTATACTGCTCTACAATAAATCCAATTAATTAATTATGTTCTATTTGTACTAAAACATGCAGTTGTTTAGTGTTGCATGTTGCTAAAAATACAAATATATAATGAACTATAATTATATAATATAATTAACTACATATTATATATATAACTATATAAACAGTACATTTAGTGTCATTTTAAAAAACAGAACATAATCCAATCAAAACAAGCTATGTCAGGCTTGTAAGACATTCTTTTAGCATAGATTAACAGTTGGAATCATAGGTTCAGTAACTGATATTGTAATATTGAATATGCAATATCCACTTAACCACTTAATAATTCATAAGCCGTAACCCTGCCTAACATCAGCTTTTTAAGACAATTTTCTTTAAGGGTGCAAACTGTACTCTAAAGACAGAAATATTAGAAGGGAACAGTAAATAATTCTTGATCTTATTTTATAAATTATATACATATAAAGGTTTGGCATGTATCATGCTACAATTTGAATCTAGTCATTTTGTCACAATATATATAATTTTGCAGATGCAATAGCTTTCAGTGTTGTATAGACAGTAGTTTTAGCATTACTATGGTGCCTTGATTCTTCAGACTGCAAAGAACCAGTCAGGGTGCATCTTCATTAATAAGTACGAGCAGAACCCCAAAAATATTTTTAATCAAAAATTCTTTCAGAGTTTAAATTCTTTTAAGCCATATGCATTTAGAGATGCATTAGAAATTAACATTGCAAAACAGAACTTCATTAGAAGTGGGCTAGCTCTCGAGAACACAGAGCACAAGAAGAACTCAGAGAGTGAGAGAGTCTGAGATTCTTATGTGCTGGTAGAAGAAGAGGAAAAAAGGTGCTCATTTCTTTTTCAATCTGTGTTTCACAATGCATGTGTGCCTGGAGAATTGCAGCTAAAGTTCACACTGGGTGCCTGCCCCCATCTCGCAAAAAGACCACTAGAGTTGGGGGGGGGAGGAAAAAAAATGTGCCATTGAACTCTGACTTGAGATTGTGAAGCAAGAGAAGCAAGCGAGTCTGGAGTGGACTGGGGGAGGGTGGGGGGTTTGGTTTTGAGATGGAGTTGGGAAAAGAGAGCCACCCTCACAGCCTTTCCACATGAGGACACCTTATCCACACCCGGGACCACCAGGACCCAGGACCCCTGCCATATCGTAAAAGGATAAGGGCCTGGACAAAAGAATTAAAACACAGATTACGCACGCACCTTATCTGACAACAGTGAGGAAACTGACAAATTGGATCAGGACGTTATAAGGCGGAGAAGAACGAGAGAGAGAGGCTGAGTGAGAAGAGTGAGAGAGAGACTGCACAAACCTCGGATGACCTTGCATAAGCCCAGTATGCTTACTGCAAATCAAAATATGTGTACAAATTTACACTATATAGACTTACAAGAAGCTTTGTCAAAGGAGCAGGGCTTGAATATGTTTTAATTAATTTCTTAATTCACTCCAATTCAAACTGACCTCACCATTTAATCCCAAAAGACAGGAATGCGATACAGACGATGCATTTCCTTCAGAAACAGAAGCTGAGTGTGAGAATAAACAGTCCAAAGCTGCTTTAACATCTGGGCAGATCTGCAACGTGTGACAGAAATGTGGGACGTGTAGCGCAAAAGCGCGTGTCTCTTTATGGGAGGGAGCACAAACAGAGGCACCGAAATAAACGTAGGAGGCCACGCCATAAAGAATTTTGCTCTGACTCAAGTCACATGACCTTCCCCAGCCTTACAGTTTGCCACCAATGAGCGAGGGCAAACGCTGTTGCCATAGTAATCCCTTGTATGTTTGCTATCCAGTATTTTCCTTTTTTTGGGTGGGTGGGGGGGTGTGACTGTTTTTTTTTACGTCATGTAAAAGCCAGTCCTTCAAATAAAAATATTAATTTCCCAAGTTCTCTTAACATGGAGTGCTATAATTACCAGATGCATGCTCAGTCGTGCCATTAGCACCTACAATGTAATAATGTGAATTTCCCACTTCTGTCCATTTCAGCTGTGTTAATTTTACATTTCTGTTTTGGTTACATAGCTCTGTACAGCACAGTGGAAGTCAAGGTCACACTGGAACATGTAACAACACCCCAGGGGCCAGGATACTCACCTAAGTTTGGCGGTCATGTGACTGCTTTGTGTTTTAGTCATCGACTTTCAGCATTATCAGGCCGGGCTCCACAGCACCTGCACAAAAGAAGAGTCGCTGTAGGTAAATATACATCTCTCCAGGACGGCACAGAACATAAACACCATTTTTACTGGATCCACAACTGGTTTACAACTAGTTCACACTTTGTGGTTGTGGGTTGATTTCAAAGGCTTGTGCTAGCGCTCAGTAATTCTCTTTCTTTCTTTCTATCATTTTTTAGGCAAACATAGCCTTCTGTACCCACAGAGCCAAATCTAGATACACAACAGTGCATGTACAATAAAAATAATGCCACAGTGTTCATGTTGAAAATATATTAATAATTTTAAGCTCAAAGAGAAAAAAAATGCTTAAAAATAGCCATGGCTTAGAGCTCTCTTAAAATCACAGCTTATGATGTAACAGAATAAATCTTCTTACATAACCTCTGAGAGGAAAAAACATTTGGAACAAATATATTTATGAGACCTCAGTTCATCCTGAATTTCATTTCTATTACTGTATTTTTAAGGACTGTGTTACTTTAAATAAAGCCAAACAAGAACTGTTCTCTGTAATCTCTAACTCAATCACTTAAAGCTTTTCAAAAAATATATACACGTACTGTTGATCTGCAACTAGAATTTGTCTAAAAAAAACAACCTCTCAAAGTATTATCCGTTATTTATCAATGCGGTTTATTTATTTATTTGTTTATTTGTGCTGGTCTATGACTCTACCTTCTTGGCTTGCAGGTTTAATTTTGAAACGAGGACAGGGAAAAGATAAGAAAAGAAAAGAAAAGAAAAGAAAAGAAAGGTTCACAGCTATGGCTTATCACCTAAAGTAACGGAAAAACAGTCTAAAAGAAATTAAAATTTGTTCAAAAAAGGACGAGGCTTAAGTTGGCTTTCTAATTCGCTAATTAGCTTCTTGTTCCAATTTTCCCGTTCCACCTTAAATGATGCAGCAGCTACATTCTGGCAGTTACGTTCTGAGGCGCGAGAACGTAACGGCTGCTCCATTTAAGGTGGAACGGGAAAATTCGAACAAACAGGTTAGCTGGCTAAATAAAAAGCTGCCTTCAGCTTCGTCAAAAAAGGTGCTTTAAGACTCCCCTTTGATAATGTCTAAGAGCCTCTTTGGACACTAAACTGTTCAAAAACGGTTTATACTGAGAGAAATTATTACCAAAGCGAAAATAAGAGCTCTCCTAAGCTTCTTATCCGTACATTTTTTAAAATAAATCTTTCATTTAACGGCTCTCCAAAAGAGAACGGCATGTTAGCTAAGACAAACCTGAGGTAAAAGCAGTCCGTAACGAATTATTATCGCACTGTCCGATGTTGTAGGAGTCAGAAAAGAGCGAATACGACCCACTGCTGACCTGTCTGATTTAAGAGACGAATTAAACGATGGTTTTATACCCCTTTTGTTTTTTAATAAGACAGAGGGAGGCCTGAGTGGGCCCTGCTGCTGCTACACGCCTAGCAGGACATCACCGTTCAGTTGAAACAGAAGCCAATTCAAGCTAAACAGAGGAGAACCTCTCTATCTAAGCAGGTAAAAAAAAAAAAGGTTGGAGGTTTTAAAACATGATAAAAGTAGTCTTCATTTCAGCGATGTGTTTTTTTTCTCAAAGTCAAGGCTAATTCAGTTTTTACACCTGGCTAATCACCCCCTCCCTCCCCCACAGCCGTTCTCCACATGTAAACTTATGAAATACATTTTTACGGGTTCTTTAATAAAGGCAGTGGTTATATGTAGAACCGTGAACACTCAAATAACCGTTTAAAGGCAGAAATATTTCTTTGCACGCTTAAATAGTTCTTCTCTATGGCGGAAGACCTGTTTTATATGGTTAAAAATGGTTTATATGGCACCAAAAGTGGCACCAGAGTCATTTTTGTTGCTGTATAAAACCATTTCGCTATTATGCTTATTTTTTCATAGCCTATGAAGCAATGTAATACACCAAAATAAAGGGTTTTTGGTTCCTATTTCATTTTATGGGTCAGAGGCTGTTGCTAAGCTACCACACTCAGGATTCAGAAGTTCAGAGGAGAGATGATTGACATTTGCTTTCTGAAGCAAAAATGAAAACTGAATGATAATGGAAGGTTAAAGTCTATTTTACTGTTAGTTTGTGTGGCAGTACAAAGTCTCATTTGTATCACCAAATTTATGACAGCAGGCCATAACTAAATTAGTCACACAAAATAATATGCCATGATATAACCCAGTAGAATTAAATGTCAATAACACTGTTATTCTTACAGTCACCATTATGCAGTGTGTGCAGTGGCTACTAAAGGCACTGTTACTGCAAATGACAAAACTTAAGGCTGGAAAGGGAAAACTATCTATTATACAACACTCTAGGTGATGTTTACCAAGGAATTACACAGAATTTATAAGGTCTGTGGTTTGTATGTTCATTTACAGGCTGATTTTGCAAGACCACAAAAGGAGGCAGCTGCGGAAGGGCAGGATTCCAAAACAGGGAGTGCGCGGCCCGTCAGGACGAAGAGATTTTAATAGCACTTGCCTGACTGTAAATTAACCATGTCAGTGTATGTGCACACCCTGGCACACTGAAATCATGCAGCATAATTTTATCCCCCGCTCAACCTGAGATGATGGGCCTTTATGGGGTAAATATTTTAAAAGTAATCTTTAACTACCACTTTGTACCATTTTCTGCTTGTGTAACAAAAAAAAAAAATGTCATTTTCATCCCGCGACAGCTGCATTCTTTGAATTCACACAATGCTTCATTTATAAATATAGACCATCTTCACAGCACACAGCAGCTTTGTTAGCTGTTACAGTAGGAGGCCACCGGCAAGGTATAACATTCAGGACACATTCTTTTAACAATGAGCAGAACCAGAGACACAATTTGTATGATAATAGTGCTAGCTCAGTGGTTGTAAAGCAGTAGCATTTCTATGGACATGGTTGTACTAATAACAGCTCCAAAGAGAGAGACAGATTTCCATAAACAAATCCGCCTGAATTAAGGCTCGCTCTCTAACCTGCGCACATGTGTTCCCCCTCCCCTCTTTATTCCCCCTAATATATTTTTAATCTGTGGTGAAATTGAAATGCAGAGTTGGTTACATTTAACCGAGATTAGTCGTGGACGTACACAATGGCAGCGCTGCATATGCCAGGTGCTAAGACAAGACTCCATCTGCTGGGTCCCCAGCACAGGCCCAGACACATATTAATGTGGGAAAACGTCTGGGGCTCCTCTCTGCCAGACAGGCAGGCCTCCGACTGCACCTCCATCACTGGGCCCTGTTTATATCATGCATTTATGAGGCTACGTGTCTGCACCATATGCAGTTTATATGGGGTAGTAATCTGTAGATATGCTGCAACCACTTGGGTGACAGTGCTAATGCTAAATAACGCTGCTAAAGCAGGTGTCTTAATGACATTAATCACATGGAACTTGAATTTGAACTCCACATTTGCTTGCTGTTATATCACTGCTGTTGTAACAACCTTGTGTTTTTGAAATGGCAGTTTTATAGGCGAATGGAAGGCCCTTTAATATGGTGAGATTTTTTAACGTTTCTACTGGTCAATTCCACATTAAATGTGAACACAATTCAAATGGCAGCTGATGTTTTAAAAAATCAAATAAAAAAGCAGAAAACATATATTTATATGCATATTATTAACCAAAAATACACAAAAGCTTCCAACCCTAAAAATAATTTCAACATTTTCAGCATTTAATGTGCCCACCATTTTTCATTATTACAGCTTCCATTCTTTTTGGGAAACTTGCTTTCAGTGTTTCAAAGAAATCTGCTGGGATTTTATTCCACACCTCCGAAGTTCAGTCTTAGAAATTGGTTGTATTTTCTGCTTCTAGCAATCCAGTTGCAGTTTCTATGGAGTATCAATCTGCAGGCATGCTGTAACCACAAGGTTATCAGTACTAATTCTAAGTAAAAAGGCTGAAGAGAGACCAAAGCAGGTGTCTTAATGATATTCGGATGTCAAGTAATACCTTAACACATTCAGTGATGTTGAGGTCTGGACTCTGAGGTGGCCTGTCCATTGTTCTGAGAACACTTTACATAACATTGGCTGGTTTGACTGGAAACATTACTGTACCACTGTGGTTTTATAGTTTTTGTTGTATCATAGCTACCAAACCCATTCCTAGTACATAATATACATTGTAAGCTTTCCTATAAATCTATACAGACAGCTTTTCACACTCAAATGACATAACAGCTCTGGATGCCACCGTAGGCAAGTTACCTGCTGTGTCTCCTCCTCACTCCTATTGATTCCCAGTGCATCATTTCTGACAATAGTTCATGAGAAGGCTGAAAGATCTTCGTTCATGCACAGAATGGTTGAAGGACAAGTACAAAAACATGCATCTTAACGATACACTGTGTACCACTTGCGAAAGCTTGGAGTAGCACTAGAATGGCATTTATAGGGAATACAAAGCAAGTGTACTTGTTTGTACAAGGTCATGGGCAAATGCACTGTCACTGTACACTCAGAACTTCTGTCTGTTTCAACAGTGTAGACACACACAGGACCTATTCTGATCATGTAAGCAGTGCGCTGGATGTCAGAAACAGCGAGTACAGTTATACTATGTGGACAGAGTCAAAGAGGCCTTTTTTAACAGAGCCCTTTTGTCACCTGACCAGAAGACATTGTCCATCCACTACATACAGATAGGTAACGCCTATGACTCATACTACATTTTAAAAGGAACAGAATGGCTGGTTTAAACTGGCCTGGTTTGATGTGAAATTCTCCATTCAATAGAAATGTAGCAACTGATTTCTTTACAGTGGTGGTGATAGGAACCAGGGATTGCAATGCCATTAATACAAATATGACCATTTTATTTACTATCCAAAACAAACCGTGTACCTATATAGACATCTGAGTTTTCATATGCAATGTTAATAATAGAAATATAGTGGTTAAAAAATAAGTGTTCCTTGGATGCCCTACATGCACCCCTCTGTGATAAATGGATTTAAAAATATGTTTTAGGCCAAAACTT